ATGGATGGCCTCAAACCTACTAGCGATGTCCTGGAACCTAATGGCGACGGCGTCCAACCTACTAGCGATGGCCTCCAACCTACTAGCGATGGCCTGCAACCTAGCAGCGATGCTCCCAACCTAATAGCGTGTCGCAAATGTGCCAGCTGAAAACGCTTAGATATATAGCACTTATATGTTATTTACGCTTGCACTTCTCAGGCAAAAACTGATTTGCTCAAACGAGAGCGCAATTCAAGCTTCAAAGCCTCCTGGTGTGGCAAATGTTTGCGGTCGCAAACACGTTCGGGCTCTCTGAATGAAAACTTACAATAAGATCGCAAGACTTGATGTTCAACAGCACATGCACTCTCTACTTATTTGTTCTTCTTTGTTCTCTCCTCTCTCCGACTCTCCCTCTCTCCCTCCCTCCCTCGCTCCCTCGCTTCCTCCTTTCTCCCTTCCTCCTTTCTCCCTCTATTTCATTTCAGCATAAAATACTTCTAATGACCAATCTCAATTTTGATGCTACCCGCTTCATACCTCCATTTTTCCCGAAAGCATTGCGAAGGGTTCTTCCGGAAAATCCTTTGAAAACTGACACTTCGACACTTACACTTAGACACACTTAGACATTGACACTTTCACCACACTTGCAGGATAACATGAACGCTATACGTAGCCCTGTGTAAGTGGAAGAGCGAAAGCTGTCAAAGTATGCAAGTGGAAGTACGCAAGCAAGTGTAAGTATGCAAGTGATGAGTATGCAAGCATGCAATGAGTATGCAAGCATGCAATGAGTAGGCAAGTGAAGTAAGCAAGTGAACTAGCACGGGAGATGTCCTCATGAAAAAACATTTCCCCACTCTATAAATTCTCTCTTAAAGGCGGAGGGTGGGACGAACAGCGTCAACCGAAAGTGCAACCCTCTGCGGAGATCGTGCGCGTCGAGCGCGCGAAATGCAGGCGAGAGTGCGATTCGCCGGGTGCCCGCGCAACCCTCTGCGGAGATCGTGCGTGTCGAGTGCGCGAAATGCAGGCGAGAGTGCGATTCGCCGGGTGCCCGCGCAACCCTCTGCGGAGATCGTGCGCGTCGAGCGCGCGAAATGCAGGTGAGAGTCGTGCGATGTGCCGGGTGCCCGCGCAACCCTCTGCGGAGATCGTGCGTGTCGAGTGCGCGAAATGCAGGCGAGAGTGCGATTTGTCCGGTCCGCGCGCAACCCGCTGCGGAAATCGTGCGTGTCGAGTGCGCGAAATGCAGGCGAGAGTGCGATTTGCCGGCTGCCCGCGCAACCCTCTGCGGAGATCGTGCGTGTCGAGGGCGCGAAATGCAGACGAGAGTGCGATTTGGTATGCAACTCTAGTACGCAGAGTAGCTGGGGAGCTGGAAGCGGAGAACTGGCGACGTGGTAGTGCGAGAGTAGTACGCGGAGTAGCTGGGGAGCGGGAAGATGAGAACTGGCGAGTGGGTAGTACAACTTGAGGGCGTGGAGTATCTGGGGAGCTGGGGGATGAGCACTGGCGACTTTGTAGTACAACTGTAGTACGCGGAGTAGCTGGGGAGCTGGAAGCTGAGAACTGGTGACTTTGTAGTACAACTTTAGTACGCGGAGCAATCTGTGGAGCTGGAAGCTGAGAACTGGCGACTGCGTAGTACAACTTTAGTACGCGGAGTAGCTGTGGAGCTGGAAGATGAGAAGTGGCGACTTGGTAATACAACTTAGCACGCAGAGTAGCTGGGGAGTGGGAAGATGAGAACTGATGAGTGGGTAGTAGCTGAGACGTTATTGTTCAGTCTGCAGTGCAGCGTCATCAAGTTGCAGTCCCACACCTGCTTTGGCAGCTTCCGCTCCTTCCCCTTAGCGTCGTCTTCAGCTTTCTTTACGTGCGTTGGGGATTAGTGCCTTGGGTGCACACGTGAAACGTGAGAAAGATCCTACACCTGAGACTCAGGTCCATGCTGATGCATGGGTACCAATGCAATTGGTGAAACTCTAAGAGAGAACCTCTCTGCTCAGCTTTTGTCCCTCCTCTCCCACCCTGTAATGTCCGTCATCGACTCCCCTGTCGGTAGACGATTCCCAGGTTGGATGAAGATATGCCCAGAAGGGTGCGCACATGAAACGTGAGGAAGATCCTACACCTGAGAATCAGGTCCACGCTGTTGCATGAATGCCAATGCAATTGGCAGAAAGCCTTTGACTGGAGTTCAAGCGAAAGGAAAAGGGAGCGTAGCGCAAGCCATAGACTGAATGTAGGCGCTTGGGGCAGGCTTGGCGTAGGCTAATCATTCAGGACTTGGTCTTTGCACAAGTTAAATGGTTACATTCTGGCTCAAGGCTAGCTTTAGCGCCAAAATAGCTTTGTGGAGTGAAACTCTAAGAGAGAACCTCTCTGCTCAGCTGGCAGTTTTGGCGAGTGATCAGGTGGTCCAGTGGATAGGAAGACTGGGTTAGGAACAACAGCCGCAACTTCGCAGATGCCTACACCATCCAGATCTGCTTCGGGTGGACGCGCTAGACCCAACCAACTGCGTGTCTCATACCGTGAGATTCCCTGCAGCCGTGCACGCTGCTTCTCCCCTTACCAGC